ATGTCACTACACCAGCCGTAAATACATCACAATTAGGTTTTCTTCACTCTAACCCCGTGCCGATCCCTTCGGTGCACCGCTGCACAGCGCGGGGGCAGACGCGCAGGGACAGGGTGGAAGTAAAGCGAGAACAGCCAGCCTCCGATTCCTAGGGCAAGGGCAGCCCCTTCATGAAAGGGCGGTTGGATTCCTCCCCGAGGCAGGAGCAGGACTTAGCGCGAGCCGGGACGGGGCTCTGGAAGATCTGGCCCTTGGGTGGCTATTCACGCACAAATGCGGCGCCCCGCGCGCGGGACGGACACGGAGCTGGGCTGCGTGATCCGCCCTGGAAGGGCCCTTTGGTCTCGGCTCCGCCTGCGAAGGGCGACGCATCGGATTGTTCCTGCCTCCTCGCGGGAGCCTTGACCCTGAAGCTCCAAGGGCTGGTGGCTCCCTCAGTGGATTCCAGCGAGGGAGCCAGCTGGTGAGCTGGGCCGGTGAGGATTTGTCTAATAGCAGCTGGAGTAAGCCCTGCAGCGGGAAGGGCCGGGCTGCAGGCTTTCCCCGTGGCCGCCACTAGCGAACCGGCCTGTGACGCGCTGGCCACGGCAGTGCCATTCTGTGGCCTTCGCCCACTTTCGGATTTGCATCAGCCAGCCCAGCCTGGCGCCGCTCGGTCCTCGACAGGGGGATGCGAGCCGGGCTCAGCCATGCAGGCGAGGGGCCGGACCCGGCCGAGGGGTCCCGCAAATCAGCGCGGTTCCCGTGCACCCTATTTAACCCTTCCTCCGCACCAGCGCAGCGATGGGACAGCGGGAGGGGCCGAGTGAGGGTGGGGGGGGGTGATTATCGAAGGCTGCGGAAAGCTGCAGGCCCTGCTGCGGCTGGTCAATGCGCCCCGGGCACAGACGGGAGGCCGGGTCCTGGTGTCACCGCCCCGGCCGCAGGCAGCCTGGCTCAGCAGAGCAGCTGCTGATTTCCCACCCGACGGTGCTCGAGTTCCTGCACTGAAGCCACTTGGCAGCTCCCTGGGAGCAGGCAAAGCCCCCTCGGCAGTGTCCCCCCCACGGCCTCTCCTGCAGCTGGGGGGGTCACTGCACTGGGGCAGGCAAAGCCCCCTCGGCAGTGTCCCCCCCCCCCCCCGGCCTCTCCTGCAGCTGGGGAGGGGAGGCACTGCACTGGGGCCGGCTGGGGGTCACAGCTCTCGCCCCAAGCTGCTCCAGCGAAGGCCAGTGGGGCCCTTTGGAAGTGATGCATTGAGGCTCCCTATCTGCCATGACTCCGCCGGCGCTGACAACTGCCCGGCCGGCGCCCTGAGCCCGTCCCGGCGCCGCTGGGCAAGGCCGACCCCAGGGCGATGTCCGACCCCGCTCCCGGTGCTGGGCACTTGTGCCAGGAACGAGGCTTCTCTCTGCAGCAGCATCCCCGTAGCACGGCAGCGGAGTGTGGCTGTCGGCACCACTGAGCCCTGCCCGGATGCACTGACCCTGGGAATAGCCTCAGCCCTGTGCCCACCCGGGGGGGGACCCGGCAGCTGCATGCTCACCAGCACGTGGTAGCCTTCGAGAGCCGGTGCTGGGAGTGTGCCCTGGCAGGAACCCCGTTGGTGCAGACACTGCAGCACCGTTGGGAGAGGGGACCCCGAGGCGCGAATGCCCGGAGGTGCCCGACTCCTTCCCAGCCCTCTGCCCGCAGCACGGTAGGTGACGCGCACATGGGGCTCTGTCCATCCCACCCAGGGCAGCAGCACCGGCCGATTCCTGCCCACGCAGCCAGCCCTGGCGCCTGCCTGACCAGGCATGCTGATGCCTTTCTGCCAGGGGTCCAGCCCTGGGCTTCCCACCCCAGCGCTGCCTCCGGCTTCTCCTCTCCCCCTTGCTGGCAGCAGCCCCCGGTGCCCGCCCCTTCCGACGGAGACCGCCCTGCTCCCTGCCGGCCTCCACGCCCCCCTCCCAGTGGCCCCTCAGCCTGGCTGCTGGCCTGGAGCCGGAGAGAAGGGACTGGAGCCCTTGCTGGCAGATCTGCTTACCAGGTGGAGGACCCCACCATCACCTCCCAGTAATGGCACCCGCTGTCGATGAAGATGTTGCCTGCAGCGCCGTAGCACCCAGTCCCACTGAACCTCTCGGGCGTGTGGCTCTTCTTCAAGGAGCTCTCGTCCTTCTCCATCTGCAGCCCGTCGTTGGACAGCTTCAGCTTCTTGTGAGCCAGTTTGGGATCCAACTTGAAGGGCTGACCTGTAAGGAGGCAGAAATGCAGTGGTTAGCAGTCTCCCTTCCCCGGGACGCAGGCTGAACCCCGAACTGCCTCTCTGCCTGCCACACCACGTCATGGGACGGGAGACAAGAGCCAGCCCTTGCCAGCCACCCCCCAGAGGTGTCCGAAAAAGTCCTGCATGTTCCTTCAGCAAGGGGCTTAAACTGCAGCAAGGGGGGGTTAGGTTGGACATCAGGAAAAACTTCCCAACTGTCAGGGTGGTTCAGCACTGGATTAAATTGCCTAGGGAGGTCGTGGAATCTCCATCCCTGGAGATATTTAAGATGATCTTCTAGACCAAGGATACTCAACTTCGGAAGCCCCAGGGGCCACAATGATACAGCACCTGCGGAGGGCAGCAACTTAAGCGTGGTTGCATATATATGCAGATAGCTTCTTTCACACTGATGGGCCTGAATACAAAGATTAAGGCAAGACGACACAACACGCAGGCCCCATTTAAGTCAGTTCTGCTGGTATTCATAAAATGCAACATTTACCCGATTTCCACCCGTGACAGCACTTTGAATGAGCAGTCCAGGAATGTAACTACTAAAACACGTATCAACAGAAGACCATTGCACTGATGTGTTGAGCCCCATGTAAACCCAAACCACACTGCAGGCTGCAAACAAACGGGGGCCACGTGCTCTAGACGGTGTTGGGTCCTGCCGTGGGGTAGGGGACTGGACTTGATAACCTCTCGAGGTCCCTTCCAGTTCGGGGTTCTGTGATTCCTGGCACCCTCAGGCAGAGCTGGCTCGTGAGTCTAGTGACGAGCTGTTTTGGGAACAAAGGTCCCCAAGGCTAACACAGCCCGAGCATCGCTTGCATCCCATGTAAGTCCCTACTACAGGATGCAGGCAAGAGCTAGCTGGTGTTCTGGCCTCATGATTTTAGTTGACCTTCAAGTGAGCTGCTGCAGGGGCAGGAGGACCAGCTTGGAGCTGAAATCAGAAGAGTTGTATGAAGAGAGAAATGAGCTAATTATTGCATCTGTCCTGGCTATAATTAATGAGAGTGAAAGCTCAGCCCTGGAAGAACGGAGCCAAACGTTGCTCCAAACTGCTGGTCTATAGCTTGGGGGTCATTCTGACATTTTGCTTGATGTCTGCGAATAGCTTCTGCTTAGCGTGGAGAGGACTAAGCAGATTGGGACTGGGACTGGAGAGAACTAGGTCACAGCTCTGCTACAGACTTTCTATGTGGCCTTGGGCAGTCACATAACTGCCCCTGTGCCTCAGTTTCCCCATCTGTAAAAGGCAGAGAAGGATCCTGCCTCTCCATGGTAAAGTGCTTTGAGATGAACCCATGAAGAGTGTGGGGTAGCTGATGGGCGCCAGGGCATTTTATAGTCATCCTTGCTGGGTGTCTGCGGGGGGGAACTCTCAGTCCTGGAGCAACACCCCCCCCACACTAGTCTGTTACATTGTTCAGACTTACCACAGCCCTCCGTAAACACGGCTCCTTTTCTCTCCCCTCCATTATGCACAAAAGTCTGAGCGCTGGGTCCAGATAATGGAAGCCCCAAAAATCAGTGGAAACCAAATCCAGGTGGTTTAATCTGAATTCATTCTCTATTACAGGGGAGGGTCCATAACATTTTAAGTGGAGGTGCAGGCCCCTTGACAGTCTGCAGCCCCCCAGCCGCGGGCTGAAAACCACTGTTCTATCGGCATTCAGGGAAATGATGCAAACGTATCGAGAAGTCAACAGACCCTTGAATTCTGGCACAATAATGTCACCAATGTTCCCTCCAATTTTTTCTATGTGTGTGAGGAATGAATTTTGTTGTGTACACCGAGGCATGCACAGATGTGCACCGCCAATAGAAGCACATGCCACCGGCTGTGGGCACTCTGCCCATCAGCTGGGCAGTACCTGAATTTCTCCTTGGTGGTCGCCCAAGCGCTCAGCTTACAGGGAACCCTGAATGTCCTGGACACACAGCAGCCCATCTCCACACACCCACCTCCAGCCTGCGCCATTTACACCCCTCCGTCTATGCTGTGTCATTTTACTGGGAGAGATATGAGCAGCCCCAAAGAGCCTCCTTCTCCAGCATGGACCCGGGGCCACTCATCTTCCCTGCACCAACAGCAGCGGGGCGGGGGACTGCGGCCTGCCCTGCCATCCTGGACTCTTTGGGTCTGGCTTGTGCTCTGTCGGGCTGCCCTGGAGAGGTGGGAGGGTTCACAGCACCTGCTGGGACCTGGCCAAGGCCAATCACAATGGGGGTGTCTAGACAGGAATTAAAAACCTGCAGCTGGCCATGGCCTGCTTCCGGGGGCTCAGGCTAAGGGGCTGTTGAGCTGTGGCTGGGTCTTTGAGCTCAGGCCAGAGCCTGGGTTCCAGGACCCTACGACATGGGATGCTGCTGGACCAGAGAGGCTCTGCCTGTCCCTGCATGGGCCCTGAGATGCGAGAGAAGAGCACGCCTGCCGGAAGGGTGGGGTGTGGACCGGAGTACGACCCTACACGGCTCTCTGCTTGGCCAGGCTGGGCAGGGACACAGAGACCTTCCCCAGGCAAGGAGTCGGCGGCGAGGAACGATGAGCAGCTCCCTATTACAGGAGCCTTTCACTGTAGCAGGGAAAGATGCCCCATATTGCAGCTTGCCCTGCTGCCTCCCCTCTGCCAGAGCCTGCCACCGGCGGGGGGTGGCTCCGCCCCACAGAGCCCATGTGGCCTGTAGCTACACGTCCCCTCAGCCACGGACCAGTCTGCAGAGCAACGTGCGACCCGCGTAACCTTGGGTCTGTGAAATTCGGTGCCACGGAGTGTTTACTTTCCAGAGTCCCATTGGCAAGATAACGGAGCTGAGAGGCCTGGAAATAAAGCTCCCGGCCGGAAAGGCCTGCCCTTCCCCCGCCACCCCGTCAGTTATTTGAGTGTGGCTCTGCTTGTCTCTCTCCGGCAGTAATGGCAAGAGACAGGCTCTTCACAAGTTAGAGCAGGAATTCTCCACTCTGTGAGGAAGGAGACAGGCCCTTTCGTCGTGGCGGTAAAGATGACCTGATAGGGAGGTGAATGCAAACAAACCGCGGCCTCAGATTCGTGAGTGCGCCCACGGGCTCCAAGAGCCATCCTCGACCCCAGGATGACACTGAAGATCATGGCTACTGAACACAGGGATTGGTACGGCAGCTCAGCTTCAAAACCTTCCTTTAACACACACCTTTCTGAGGTTAGGAAATGAAACGAACGAACAGGCTCTCTGTCAGCTGCCGCCTCCCATACATGATCCCGTGACCCCTTCCTGCATGCGCCGAACTCCCCACAGTACAGCAGCATTCTCCGCTCTAACGGAGAGAAACGAGCAACCGTTAATGACCGCCATGGCTTTGGTGAACTGAAAAGCCTGTGCCCCTCCCGGAGTAGGAAAACAAAGGCTTGGCTAGTGGAGGTCTGGAAGATGGCGTTTGCCCTACACCTCTCGGCAGGCTGTGCTCAGAGCTCCCACAAACAAGGAAGGCAACGCCCAGCGCTATTTGAGTCTGCCCTGTATCTGAAGCAGGCCTGTTCCTGTCTCTGGGGGGCACAGAGAAGTCAGCGCAGGAAGAAGAGATGAGCGATACAAGCTACTTCAAAGCTGCAGCTACAAAGCGAGAGAATAAAACTGGCTGTGTCAAAGGGCTGCAAGAAAAGTAAGGGATGAGATAACTGAGTGTTGCAAAATCTGCAAGGTGCATCCCATCACTCGCCCGTGGGACAAAGGGTAGGGCTGTTTCCTGGCCTTTGCACTCCTGTGGGAGAACGTGGGCAGAGGAGAATCTCCACGCCCTGCTCTCTAGTCCAACGCCTCCACCGCGGCCCAGGGAGCAGGCCCCGCCTCCTTCGTGAGGGATGACATCTCCTCCGCACTGCGCTGCTGGCAGGGAGCGGGGAGGTATGACAGACGCTGTCAGACGTGATTAACATCTCTTCCAGCGCTGTCACTCAGGGAGCTTTGATCTCACAACGCCGCTCGCTGGGCGATCCCCTTCAGCCCCCACGTTCTTCCTCCGCGCCCGGCGCCTGCCCCAGAACTCCCAGGCCAGCCACGGCCAGGACGCACCCACCGCGGGCTGCTTGTTTTAATTGGACTTTCCCTCCCCGGGGAGCTTCAGGAATTGCAGAAATGCAGTGGCACTCCGAGGAGGAAATCCTGGCTGGGTTTCTGGGTGTGCTGGATTAGAGAGGAAGGGGGGGGGGGTGTTTTTTCCTAAAGAGTTGCTGATGCCTCAAGGAAAACTTTGAAAGTTAATCAGGAGGGTAAACACCACAGAAACGCTGGTGGGAACGGGAGGGCAGAGGGTTATGCACCAGGGCAGCCACAGGATCCCTGCGCATCACCATGGGTCGCTTTAGGACCATTAACTGCAGCAGTAGCCACGTCAGCCCAGACAATGATAGAGACAGCAAACTGCCTGCCTGCGGGGTCAAGGGAGGAGACTTCTTCGGGCTATCCTAACACTGGAGAAGACACGGGGGAGGAGGGGATTTCTCCTTCCTCTGAACCTGCCAGTATTGTCATCTGGCGGGAGACCGGCGCCGGGCAACCGGCTG